CCTCACTGAAAGCCCTCCGTCTGGCCTGACAGCGGGCTAACGCTCTGCAAAGGGCAGCCGCTGACGTCGGGCTTCTCCGGCACGTGAGGCTGTTGAACTTGTGCAAGACTAGACCCCTCGCGCGGGGACTGAAATCCTCGTCTGGTGAAACGCGGTGAACAAAACAAGCGAAAGGCGGGTGCTGAACAGTTGTACTGAGCTGTCCCTCACAAGAGGAAGAGGATTGGAGAATGTCAAAGTTAAGCAGGGCAAGGGCTTAAAAAGTGGGCAAGCGGGACTTAAAAAAAAAAAAAGGGCTGTATCTACTGCACCCAAATAACAAGGAGCAGCAAAAAAGAAGTTTAACTGTGTCCCCGGCAAGGACTGGTGCGTTGTCGGTTGCTGAGGAGTGGGCTGTGCTTGTGCAGCGCCAGGCACCTTCTGTGAGCCGTTCCTGAACGGCTCAGGCTGTGATTTACTCTCTTCGCTTCCTAAAAGTAGAAGGCGAAAAAATTATCTCTGAATGTGTGGTTTCAGAACGTGCACGTGAGCGACTGGAAAAATGGTTGTTTAATATGTATATATGACCCCACTGTGCTGGGAGAATGAGCTACTTTGTGGTCCTGAACGTCTGGTGGCAGCGAGTGGGTCCGACATTGTTAGATCTGGCAGGGGTTCAGACATCTGCCAGGGGATGTGGGATTTTGTTGGAAGAAGTGGGAGAGAGAGGAGCGAGAGAGACGTTCGGAAAGCTTCGGGAGGCTTGCAGCTTTATATATGTGCCTGCATAACACTTCCTCTTTAAAATTCCCTTACTAAGCTCGGCTCCTATATTTTATATTCAGAACGAAGGTTCCCGCCCCCCCAGCCCTCCCCACCCACCGCCACCCTCTCTCCCTTTATTTTGTTAAGTTTGAAAGATGATATATACACACAGTTTGCTTTGCCAGTCAGCCCGTTTAAGGCCAAGATTAATGCAGTGCATTGGTGCAATCGTGCCGCAGTGGTGCGTGATCAGAATACGAGATGGAATATAGGGGGAAAGGCCAGAAATGTGCCTGGATGCGGAGTTTACACAAGTCTCCTTAGCAACTTGTCTGATTTTTTTTTTTTTTTTCCATGTGGGGTGTGTGTGCAGGAGCCTTGTCCCAAATCACCAGTGAATAAAACGTTCCCTGAGTTTTTTAAACAGCGTCGGTTGTTGGTCTTGTTGTTTTCGTCTCCTTTTCCTTTTGTTGAATTGGCGGGTTCATTTTTTTTTT